CGTGTATAAACACACCATAAACACAATCATTTGAAGGTGAAATGCATGTTGGGGCATCCTTCTGTTTTGATTCATAGTTGCAAAAGCCACAACCTTCCACAGGGCCTTTCACTCTATGATCTCATGCTGTGCAGCTAAACTTTAAAACCCACAGCACCTCATTTTAATTTCTAGAAAATATTTCTTGGCTGTGCTTTGAAAAGCTTTTCAAAATGATGCACAATGATAACTTTTCAATTCTTCATGTTTGATCAAATGGAAAAGTGACCTGACATCAGGCTGCTTCAAAGAGAGCTGATCTTCAGTGTGCTGCACCTTTACAGACAGTTTGCCGTTGTTTGAGAGCTCTTGGAGCGGTTGAACCGAATAATGCACATAGACGAATGCTTGAGTCTGGTATCCAGTTAGTCGAATGTCTCCTCCTTTAACTTTATTAGGGAAATGAGTGCCTGACCAGTCTATGCAACAGGACGCCCAATTGTCTAGACAGGATTAATAGGCTGAGCTTTGTGAGCGTACAGAGTCGGCACGACACAGCAGGTACAGATGCAATATGTTTATTTTGGTTTCTTTATGCAGAATCGAGCTCTCCCGGCGTCTCGCTCTCTCGCCGTCGACCTCAAAAAAACGCAGGGACGACCCTGGAAAATTAAAACTTCTCCAAAGAGAGAGAAATGGAAAATGCTCCAGCAAAAATGAGCGAGCGGATTAGGAAACAAAAGAAAAAGCCAAACTCTCGCTTATCGAGGAAATAACAAAAAAGTGATATTGCAGTCTTGCAGTCTCTATCTTCCATATTTCCACACTGACAGGAGCTCAGACAGGATTTGTCCTCCCAGAAAGACAAACTAAAGTGCATCATGGACGGCGTACAGGGCCTGAAAAGCAACCCGCTTCGGAGGCTGGATAGTCAACGTAAAACAATATAGTCAATAGGATGTTTTTTTCCAGCATATTGTTTGTCTGGCTTCTAAATGTGTGCATGCGTTCAAAAATGATACGTTACTGCCTTTCTGTTTAGAAAGGTTTACTTTGTTAAGTGACTTTTATTGCTTTCTGAGGCAAAACTGGCTTATTGTAACATAATATACAGTCAATAAAAGACTGGCTCAGTGCCCCGTGCTCCTTCCCCACAGCCAGGGGCCTCCAGAATCACGCAAACTCCCTGCAGGTCGGTGACACAAAGTGACTAGCAAAATAACGCAGGAAACCTCGGTGGGTTTTTTCTGCAAGCTCAAAAATGTCTTTATCCAATGAAACGTCACTAATTGGGCCCTCTTGCTTATTCATTTTAACAGTAAATAGATTTTCATGAATTTAAGTATTGAAAGGGCAACTTTTGAACCCGCCCCTATATTCCATTTTTTTTGTTTCTATGTGAATGATGCGTACTCTAGAGAGAAGAATGGCTGCTTAGTGATGATTTGGACCAATAACATTCATCTTGTTTCCAGCGACTCTCTGAGTGTTGTGGCATCAGAGCACCGTCCATTTAGCATCAAGCAGAGGGCTTTGGGCAAAGACGACTTCACAAAGATCCCTCACGGAGTGGCTGGAGTCCAGGACAGGATGAGTGTCATTTGGGAGAGGGGAGTGGTACGTACAAACACACGCACACATGTACACATATACACACTTAAGCTGTAAACCTGCTCGTGCTTATTATGTAGCGTGCATCCCAGGAAGGATCCATGTAGAATCGTATTAGATACCATTAATACTAAAATAGCTTTGGAAAAAAATGCTTGGTTTTATTTTGTATTACTGGTCCACAAGTCCACCACTGTCTCCTCAGTGTCAATTTGTGTTTTCATTGGCTTATGGTTACTGCATTAATTTAACAACAGGCCGAAGAAATAATGTACACACATTTGCATTGCTTTGACCAAGGAGCCAAGCCAAGCACAACAAAATGCTATTCCGAAAGAAAGAATCCTTTGATGCTAATTAAAAATTCAGGGCTCACAAAGATCTGAGTTGTCCTTGGCCTTGCATGTTTTTGATGAATGAATGCCCTCAGGTCAGGAAAAGCATGACTACGGGGGGTCACGTTACTCCATAATAAAGGGTGAAATGCAACAACGTTCCTTGTCTTAAAGCGGTGATCGGTCGTAGCTCTGTTGGTATCTTGTCCACTCACACCTAAATGTTCTATGATAAACTATTCAGCATTTCGGTTTTAAGACAACCGGTTGCCGGTTACCTTTTCGATGGCGCCGTGTGAGTGAAGAAAATCGATCGCTGGGCTTTGTTCAGATCAGCTGTTCCTCCCTCCGTCCATTGCTCTCATCACGTCGGGGTCACCAAATTGTTGTATTCAAAAATGAAGAAACGCCGGACGGACAGAGGTCAGCGCTGATCAAAAGGTTAAAATCAAATGTATTTAATAAAAGAGATGGTGTTGTGGTAAAAAGAACATCTCAGCTGAGGAGCCGCTGGTCTCAGCAATCAACAGGCCCCAGGTCAGTCCTTTTGACCATCCCTAGTGCCCGTCTGTTGTCTCCACCAGCGAACTCGAGAACAATGGTTCCTACAGGTATTCATAACAATGCTTAAAGGTGTGAAAGTTATTACATTAAATACAACCATAACTGTACATTGATATTATTCTATTACAGTTGCAGAATTACAGAGGTTTTACAATATTGTCATTACTTTATTGATTACACAATTTTAGAATCATGGCTGTATTCTGCTGTACACTATATGCATTTTTTAAAATTAATTTTATGAACCGGGTCGTATATTTGTTTCTTAATATCCTACACTTACCTTGACTGAAGACTTAAAAAAAAGAATGTCTATAGTCTCCGGCTGAATTCACTTGTTGTCTAGAATTGTAACCAAATACATTTCCATGTCCTCTACATATTCTGCAATCGAGTTACAGCCAAAAGGACTTAACACAAAGATACGATTGCAGAATCGTTTCTTACTGTGTTTGAAAATGGAGAATGAATTATCGACCACTGAACCACTTGAAATTTTCCACAATGTAGTATTTTGTTTTCCAAGGCTGGACTACGAGTTCAGCCGAATCTTAGCAGATTCACAGTGGCATTTGTCATTAGGATCTTTCGACAAGAAAAGAGCTAAAGAATAATCCGTTTAGAGCTGCTTATAGTCTGCACCGTATCAGCACTTTTGATACCCCTTCCTGTGACATTTCAAAGTAGGTTACATGTGTTTTGTTCTACATAGGATTGAGGCTCGAGCACAACAAGGAGGAGGATATTGAACCAACAGCAAGAAAGAGAGATTGTTAACATGGTTCTAGCCAATAATGCAATAAGGCTTAGAGAAATCCAAGCTAACATTATTGGCGACCATGACATTTTCCATGATGTCAATCAGGTGTCTATTTCTACACTGGTACTGGCAATCCCTCAGGAATATATATATGGGGTCCTCCACCGTCATGCCAATATGGGCCCAATGGGATTCGGCATTCCAGACGGTTCTTCCCACGCTGTCTGGCCAATGAGGATATTGCCTGTGATGTGGATGAGTTTCTCTGGCCGGATCCAGCTAGGCGGAGAGATGATGCATAGTACAGTATTTTCGGGGGGGGTTTAGATCTTTTTTTTGGTACTGGATATGATGTTATGTTTGTCCGATAGCTTACAGTGTTATGCAGTTATGAAAACTGGGACAAGTTTAGTTGTTTTTGTTGTGATTCTCCATGTTTGACTGGTTTGTGTATATGGAGGGAATTAAATAATATTTTCATCAGTCTGCAGCATTGGTCTTGTGTAGTGTTTGGCGAATTTATTGAATATTTGCACTTTCTCTGTGTACTTCACTTACACTACTCTAATCACTGAGAAGTAGATTTGCTAAAAGTGTTTTAGGTTTATAACAGCAGTGTGTAAGTGGTACAAACAGAATTCCGTCATGTGCAACGTGTGTGTTTCATATGGTAACAAAAGATGGTTTTGTTAAATGTGGTTGTGCTAATTGTGTGAGTGAAATGAAAAACAAAACAAAGCAGTCAAAATTGTGTTTAAGCAATCGAGAAAAACTGTAAATAAGGCTCACATTTCTTATTTTTTGTTTTTGGTTCTAATTGCACGTGCAATTACTCCATTTAAGGCAATGAAAGGATTCTAAATATATGCAGACAATATTATTTATCGGGTAAGTAAATACATTTTGCAGCTTGCAATATCATCTACGTAAGACCTCACAAGATATTCAACTTCCCTGTTGCAAAATGATGAGCTTTTTCATGTTATCTGTGTCTATAAAAATATATAGCACAAAGAGTTTTGTGCTATGCTCATTGCATTGTACATACCAGGTTTTTCAAAACGTTTTGGTAGAACTATGAAAAGTGCACAGTGATATTCTGGTCTGAAATGCCCTCCCCCTCCCCTCTTTTAAGATATTTACTTGGTGGTCCTTTTCTTGCCGTTTTGTCAGAGTCCAGTAAGGTTCCCCATCCACCTCTTACTTAAAAGGGGACAATTGAGGGTTTTGCATGCAAGTTCACGCTTCTTTCCTTTGTTTTATTGCAGCTTCAATGAAGCGAATCGTTAACTGACCATGCAAGAATAGCATTTGACCAGGGTTGTCTGTTTGAGACCTAAACAGAATCCCTATCACTAAAAAACATTTGGCTACCATTTTTTAAAAATTATTTATTACTAAATTCAATTCAAAACAGTTGTGATCTGTGCACAGTGTAGAATGATAATATGTTGTACTGAACGATGTGCTGTTTTCAAGAATTCGTATCCTTCCCTTTAGACTACTTCAACTTGTATTTGTGGAAATATATTACATGCAACATGTGAATCTTGGAGGAAAGATGTCTGATGTATCTGAGTAAATACTTGCACATATGACTCGTCGTCATGCTTATACAGAGACCCGGTATTCCCGGTACTTATTTCCTTGTGTAACATAAAGGCACTGAGTGTTTTAACATCGCGGTGAACTCAAACCCGATGGTGTTTCATCATAGAGTTGAATATAATATGGTGGATAGATGCAGATTCTCAAAACTTGTATTACTTCCTCATTGGCCGACTGGATTCAATTTTTTTGGTCTGTTTGTTTAAGTGCCTCACACTATAAGAGAACACTTTATGTGTTTATAGCGCCAATGATCAGTCACTCACAGGGTTACGGCGAAAATCACATCTCGGCTGTGCCTTTGCAAGTTACACAAGTAATCATCTGCGTTACGTTTCACATGGACCAATTAAAATCGAGATATCGCTGGACATTTGCGCGGTGACGTCACTACGCCAGCCACGTTGTAAGGCTAATCCCCGCGAAATTCAAAGTCAATATGACGGCGGTGTTCAACGATATCACCGATCTGAGACGAGTTTACACCGCTGCGATCGACGTCTTCACGAGGAAACAGCGGCGGGTGGATTTTACGTACAAATAATCGACTGATCGGTGAGTCAGAAACTAAACTTCGGGGTTAATATTGAAGTGTGGTGCTGACGGTCCGACCGGCGACCGGTACCCGGCGAGGGGGCGGCGCTGACGGTCCGGCGGCGCTCGTCGGACACCTGCGGCGGGCAGGATGCGGCCGCGAGACTGAGACACCTGCCCTCGCCAGCGCTGTTGTGGTTTTCATTCAACAGATTCTGTACAACCCGTCATCCAACTGTTCGTCTAACTAACGTACGGCTCCCAGCCTCGGACACTCCTGCACAAGTCGACAAAATAGTCTTTCCCAGGTGGGAGATGACCGTGCAGCTTGAGAATTCATCGTGCCAGCCTTGAAATTAAATACCTGCAATTAAATACTGTGACTTTGTCAGTGGACCTTGTTTTTTATGATATGATTTCATAATTATTCTATTGAATATATTTCCATTATTTGAAATCGTTTCATGGCAATCTGCCTTTGTAAAAAGTCTGCTGTCGTATTTTACTACTGCTTTAGTAATGATACATCACTCACTCGGAGTAAAAACCCTTGGCTCCATGGGTGACTGCAACCTAAACTTAACCCCTTTAGGCCGCTCAGCCGACTGGCTTCTCTTCACTTGCGTCCGGATACAGGACCATCGTTATTGCATAGAAAGAAAATGACCAAATAAAGCAGTATCCCAGATCTGTTTGCTATCTGAACGTATTTGGTTGGTTTACTGTGACTGATTAACCTAAATGATATTAGATTGTAAATAAACAGATCCATCAAAGTGTATGCTAATTCTAGCAGGCTATACACTTTTCCAGCATATTGTTTGTCTGGCTTCTAAATGTGTGCATGCGTACAAAAATGATACGTTACTGCCTTTCTGTTTAGAAAGGTTTACTTTGTTAAGTGACTTGTATTGCTTTCTGAGGCAAAACTGGCTTATTGTAACATAATATACAGTCAATAAAAGACTGGCTCAGTGCTCCTTCCCCCACAGCCAGGGGCCTCCAGAATCACGCAAACTCCCTGCAGGCCGGTGACACAAAGTGACTAGCAAAATAACGCAGGAAACCTTGGTGGGTTTTTTCTGCAAGCTCAAAATTATCTTTATCCAATGAAACAACATTAACAGATCAAGGCTGAATAATAAACATTTGACATTGTTATTACTTCTGATTCCAATTCTCCAATATAAAACATGTGTTTTATTACTCACGTAATAACCTTACAATAATCAATAAAATGACTGTTCTCCATCCTCTTGTCATATTCGATGTAAAAGCGAATTGTAAAATCAGGCATCGATGAGAATTACATTCGTGAACATGTGACATTTGAAAATAACAGAACAATCTATTGGCTCGTATTTCCCCTTCAACGACACAAAAAACACGTCAGTAACGTTCGGGGAGGTCAGGTCAGGTCAGGTGAACTCTGAATGACCTTATTCTCCTGACGTCACTCACAGTGACGTTTGGTGAGGTCGGTAAGTGATATCTCGCCGCTAGTTCTAGGGAACACGTCATTACCCGTCATTACCCACAATGCAATGGGGGCAGCGTTTGGCCCCTTTCAGACCCAATAACGTGAAAAATAAAGTATTTAATGCCATTAAAACGTTGGAAAATAATGTATTGGACGTTACCGAGCCATGGGCATCAAAAAAAAAAGAAAAGAAAACGAGCCAGAAAAAGGGCAAACCGTGCAAACCGTGAGTGAAATCACTAGTACCGGTATAGTACCCCCTGGACAATTTCCAGAAATAGTGAAGCTGCTTGCAGTTTGGCTTAACCGGCTGGGTGGCCGGGGCAGGCTGTGACTCCTAGATGACTTGATCGCAAGGTGGTGGGCGGGAAGTTGACTTGTCAAATAGGGGTCCTAGACAGCGGCTTGCTCTGGCCGCCCGGACGGGTCATTGGCGGTCGGGTGGGACCAAACATTTTTAAAAAAAACTGTTAAAAAAAAAAAAGAATCCCACATATACGCTAACACGTATATGTTGGGGCTCTAATAGTTGAGTCTGAGAGGTTAACATAAACTCACAGACGCATTGACTCCGAAAGGTTAGTATAAACTTTCTCCATAAATTAATTCTGCGAGACTAACATAAGCTCGCGGACACAGACATTTTCTCTGAAAGGTCAGCATAAACTTTCAGAACATTGCTGTCTGTCTGCTCCGGTAAAATACATTCCAACCGGTTGACTGCTGTTAAATGGAAGGTGCATTGGATGTGGAGGACGGCGGCTGGGAGACAGCGCCGGGGTATCGATGGAAAATAATAAATGACCAACTGAGGCTGTTGTGATTTGCTAGATTAGGACACCTAATCATAATGATGATCATAAACTTTTATTTCCAGGGGTAAGGCGAATAAATCAGACAATATCAAAATCCTACGAAAATAAAATGGAATTAAATATACTGTGTCAGTGGACCTCGTTCTTTATGATATGATTTCATCATTATTTTATTATAAACTAAACTTAACCCCTTTCGGCCGCTCAGTCGACTGGCCTCTCTTCACTTGCAACGTAAACAAATACAAAAGGTGCAAAGCAAGAACTTGAAGATGGAGAAATGACGGCTGCACAAATTCGCGGAGAGACAGGAAATAATGATCAAATGTGTGTGTTTGTGTGATCTGTGTGTGTCTTCTGAGTAAAAACGCACATATGATTTCGATTCGATTTGTTTTGGTCTGTTTGTTTAAGTGCCTCACACTATAAGAGAACACTTTATGTGTTTATAGCGCCAATGATCAGTCACTCACAGGGTTACGGCGAAAATCACATCTCGGCTGTGCCTTTGCAAGTTACACAAGTAATCATCTGCGTTACGTTTCACATGGACCAATTAAAATCGAGATATCGCTGGACATTTGCGCGGTGACGTCACTACGCCAGCCACGTTGTAAGGCTAATCCCCGCGAAATTCAAAGTCAATATGACGGCGGTGTTCAACGATATCACCGATCTGAGACGAGTTTACACCGCTGCGATCGACGTCTTCACGAGGAAACAGCGGCGGGTGGATTTTACGTACAAATAATCGACTGATCGGTGAGTCAGAAACTAAACTTCGGGGTTAATATTGAAGTGTGGTGCTGACGGTCCGACCGGCGACCGGTACCCGGCGAGGGGGCGGCGCTGACGGTCCGGCGGCGCTCGTCGGACACCTGCGGCGGGCAGGATGCGGCCGCGAGACTGAGACACCTGCCCTCGCCAGCGCTGTTGTGGTTTTCATTCAACAGATTCTGTACAACCCGTCATCCAACTGTTCGTCTAACTAACGTACGGCTCCCAGCCTCGGACACTCCTGCACAAGTCGACAAAATAGTCTTTCCCAGGTGGGAGATGACCGTGCAGCTTGAGAATTCATCGTGCCAGCCTTGAAATTAAATACCTGCAATTAAATACTGTGACTTTGTCAGTGGACCTTGTTTTTTATGATATGATTTCATAATTATTCTATTGAATATATTTCCATTATTTGAAATCGTTTCATGGCAATCTGCCTTTGTAAAAAGTCTGCTGTCGTATTTTACTACTGCTTTAGTAATGATACATCACTCACTCGGAGTAAAAACCCTTGGCTCCATGGGTGACTGCAACCTAAACTTAACCCCTTTAGGCCGCTCAGCCGACTGGCTTCTCTTCACTTGCGTCCGGATACAGGACCATCGTTATTGCATAGAAAGAAAATGACCAAATAAAGCAGTATCCCAGATCTGTTTGCTATCTGAACGTATTTGGTTGGTTTACTGTGACTGATTAACCTAAATGATATTAGATTGTAAATAAACAGATCCATCAAAGTGTATGCTAATTCTAGCAGGCTATACACTTTTCCAGCATATTGTTTGTCTGGCTTCTAAATGTGTGCATGCGTACAAAAATGATACGTTACTGCCTTTCTGTTTAGAAAGGTTTACTTTGTTAAGTGACTTGTATTGCTTTCTGAGGCAAAACTGGCTTATTGTAACATAATATACAGTCAATAAAAGACTGGCTCAGTGCTCCTTCCCCCACAGCCAGGGGCCTCCAGAATCACGCAAACTCCCTGCAGGCCGGTGACACAAAGTGACTAGCAAAATAACGCAGGAAACCTTGGTGGGTTTTTTCTGCAAGCTCAAAATTATCTTTATCCAATGAAACAACATTAACAGATCAAGGCTGAATAATAAACATTTGACATTGTTATTACTTCTGATTCCAATTCTCCAATATAAAACATGTGTTTTATTACTCACGTAATAACCTTACAATAATCAATAAAATGACTGTTCTCCATCCTCTTGTCATATTCGATGTAAAAGCGAATTGTAAAATCAGGCATCGATGAGAATTACATTCGTGAACATGTGACATTTGAAAATAACAGAACAATCTATTGGCTCGTATTTCCCCTTCAACGACACAAAAAACACGTCAGTAACGTTCGGGGAGGTCAGGTCAGGTCAGGTGAACTCTGAATGACCTTATTCTCCTGACGTCACTCACAGTGACGTTTGGTGAGGTCGGTAAGTGATATCTCGCCGCTAGTTCTAGGGAACACGTCATTACCCGTCATTACCCACAATGCAATGGGGGCAGCGTTTGGCCCCTTTCAGACCCAATAACGTGAAAAATAAAGTATTTAATGCCATTAAAACGTTGGAAAATAATGTATTGGACGTTACCGAGCCATGGGCATCAAAAAAAAAAGAAAAGAAAACGAGCCAGAAAAAGGGCAAACCGTGCAAACCGTGAGTGAAATCACTAGTACCGGTATAGTACCCCCTGGACAATTTCCAGAAATAGTGAAGCTGCTTGCAGTTTGGCTTAACCGGCTGGGTGGCCGGGGCAGGCTGTGACTCCTAGATGACTTGATCGCAAGGTGGTGGGCGGGAAGTTGACTTGTCAAATAGGGGTCCTAGACAGCGGCTTGCTCTGGCCGCCCGGACGGGTCATTGGCGGTCGGGTGGGACCAAACATTTTTAAAAAAAACTGTTAAAAAAAAAAAAGAATCCCACATATACGCTAACACGTATATGTTGGGGCTCTAATAGTTGAGTCTGAGAGGTTAACATAAACTCACAGACGCATTGACTCCGAAAGGTTAGTATAAACTTTCTCCATAAATTAATTCTGCGAGACTAACATAAGCTCGCGGACACAGACATTTTCTCTGAAAGGTCAGCATAAACTTTCAGAACATTGCTGTCTGTCTGCTCCGGTAAAATACATTCCAACCGGTTGACTGCTGTTAAATGGAAGGTGCATTGGATGTGGAGGACGGCGGCTGGGAGACAGCGCCGGGGTATCGATGGAAAATAATAAATGACCAACTGAGGCTGTTGTGATTTGCTAGATTAGGACACCTAATCATAATGATGATCATAAACTTTTATTTCCAGGGGTAAGGCGAATAAATCAGACAATATCAAAATCCTACGAAAATAAAATGGAATTAAATATACTGTGTCAGTGGACCTCGTTCTTTATGATATGATTTCATCATTATTTTATTATAAACTAAACTTAACCCCTTTCGGCCGCTCAGTCGACTGGCCTCTCTTCACTTGCAACGTAAACAAATACAAAAGGTGCAAAGCAAGAACTTGAAGATGGAGAAATGACGGCTGCACAAATTCGCGGAGAGACAGGAAATAATGATCAAATGTGTGTGTTTGTGTGATCTGTGTGTGTCTTCTGAGTAAAAACGCACATATGATTTCGATTCGATTTGTTTTGGTCTGTTTGTTTAAGTGCCTCACACTATAAGAGAACACTTTATGTGTTTATGGCGCCAATGATCAGTCACTCACAGGGTTACGGCGAAAATCACATCTCGGCTGTGCCTTTGCAAGTTACACAAGTAATCATCTGCGTTACGTTTCACATGGACCAATTAAAATCGAGATATCGCTGGACATTTGCGCGGTGACGTCACTACGCCAGCCACGTTGTAAGGCTAATCCCCGCGAAATTCAAAGTCAATATGACGGCGGTGTTCAACGATATCACCGATCTGAGACGAGTTTACACCGCTGCGATCGACGTCTTCACGAGGAAACAGCGGCGGGTGGATTTTACGTACAAATAATCGACTGATCGGTGAGTCAGAAACTAAACTTCGGGGTTAATATTGAAGTGTGGTGCTGACGGTCCGACCGGCGACCGGTACCCGGCGAGGGGGCGGCGCTGACGGTCTGGCTGGATGCATGTCACAGCCGCCTGGTGGTGCTGGACAGCGAGGTGCAGGATCATCCGGATCAAGCCCACCTACTGATGGACCAACTCAACCGACCGCTGCAGCTGTATCAAAACGCAGCGTAAATGGTGGTCCTACTACAAGCTGTAAGAATCTTGAGATCTAGTTCTAAACATCACCGCCCCCACCCCATTGCATTGTGGGTAATGACGTGTCCACTATAATTAGCGGCGATATGACACTTACTGACCTCACCAAACGTCACTGGGACGTTTAGTTATAGGCCCCGAGTCCAAACATAAGGCATGTGGAAGTCGGCTGACCAGCTCGTGACAGCCTCCTGGCCCTGCAGCCAGGAGGCTGTCACGAGCTGGTCTGGCCGCAAAGATTCGGTCCCAAATTGAAGATTCGGTGTGTGAGTGCCAAAATTCAAAATTGGGTTGCCAAATTTCTGAGATTTGGGTGAGAGCCAAATTTCGGTGGGTGGTGGGAGGGCAAATATGTTTAATGAAATAATCAATCCCAAATTCCACTAGTGAACACGTTCATTTCTTATTCTCATATGAATAGGATTACACTTTTGTTCATTTTCGTCATTACCCACAATGCAATGGTGGCAAACCGTGACTGAAACCAAAAATCTTCAAATCAAAAGAAAACCTTTTGTACTATATCAATTACTTAAAACCTTGTACATGTAGTTATGACAATTCTCAAAAATGTCATGGCAGTGTTCCCTGTCAATCGCATGAATAGTGAACAGGTGATTCACTCTAAGGGTCACGTGAAATATTACATGGAGGCAATGGAGAAAAGAGAATCAATTAATTTCTTAATTGTTCTTGCCTAGTGAGAAACATGTCAAATATTCTACAGTCAAAATGTCTGAATGCCATGAAGCCATACAAGTCATTTTCCTTATACCGCAGCATTTGACCAACATTATTTAACCACAATTAATGAAAACAAACGTCTGTATTCATAAACTCTCATTACGTACTGCTTAATAAACACGTGTTCCCTCTTCCCTAAAATAAATATAACAAGATTATGCAACAATGGTTGCAAATGAACCATAAAAATCACATAAAATGAACTGCATTAAATACATCTGTACTAACCTGGCTAAATAAAATAAACAGTTTAATATAATTAAATAAATGGTTAAAATACACGTATTCTGCCACCAAATGTTGGAGACTTTTGAGAAAAATCAAATTGGATTTACAATTTGGTACAACTCGTAATGTTGTGTTTAACTCAGCTCTGGACTGATCTCTCTAAGTTCACATGACCGTATAGTACCTGTTTATTCAACTTAGCAATGTAAGTTTGCTGGCTTGGCCGCCTAGCTGACCGACTGGCAAGGTGGTGGGTCGGGCGCCGGCCGGTCAGCTAGGTGGCTGGGTGAAGCCAAATATGTTCAATGAAATGACCAATCCCCAAACCTTGTACGTTGTACACGCATTTAGGAGATCGTCAACGCGTGACCATTGAAAAATAACACAACAATCTATTGGCTCGTATTTCCCGTCAATAACACAAAACACATAAACAGTGAACAGCTAATTTTACTACATCCACAATATATACAAAAAGTGCAATATTAAATAAAATTACATTGATGCAATAGAAATAGAAATATATGCAGACAAAAGCATTCTGCGTCTTTCTTTGAACCGACACAACGAATCGATAATGAAATTCCTTGCCAACGCTTTCAATAATCAAATTTTAGCAATTTCAGCGATTCTTGTTCTCTTTAAGGATTGTGTGTTGTCAGATATTAAAACAACCGTTGTAATTGTCCAGTTATTAAAATGTCTGCTTTTTCAAGTACACGTTGTGGAATTACTCAACAGGTATTTATTATTACTATTACCTTAAATTGGCCGGATAAAAGTATTCGTAGATGTGACTTGAAATGAATAAAATTTTAGACAATTATAATTATACTACCTACAGCATCGCGGAAGCTCAGCGAGTTGTTGAAGTTTGCAGCATTTGTGCTAAATGCTAATGGCCTGGATTAAAACACTTGCTGTTCTCATCATTTGCTTGGGTCATGTCTGATGGTGGCTAGCCGGACTTCTAATATCGCTTTTTTCCGTCTTCTTTAGGAAGCGTTGTGAACTGCGCGCACGGAATATGTTTTTCTTTGCTAAAATATAGTTCTCTGTGCTCAAAACTTAAAGTTACACGCTCAGGATGGTGGCACAAATATAACGGCATAAGGGCAGAGCAGAACACGTGGGTGCCCTGAAAGTGTGTCGATGGCATTGTGCGTAATCACCTGTTAATGTGTTTTGTGTTGTTGAAGGGAAATATTATACGAGCCAATAGATTGTTCTGTTCTTTTTCAAATGTCACGTGTTCACGAATGTAATTCAAGAAAAACTCCCCAAACAATGAAAAAGTATTCGATGGGGAGAATAAAGGAAAGGAAGGAAGAAACCTTTAGAGAGACACAGGACGATCCTCCCTGGGACGGACAGACTGTGATGGACGTACAGAATGAACAACGTAAAATATCTATAATACGTTCAAATCATCCGACAGAAATGATTCAAATTCACATATTATCTCCTCATATGCGTTCATGATCATGAATCGATTGGACTCGGTAGCTCTTTCTCTGACGGCGATGTTGGTTGTGACAAATGCAGAGCGGCGGGTTAATTGTTCTTTCTTCACATTCCCTTGACAAACCCCTGCAGTACGCTCCTGAGAAGGTCCGGAAGATACTCGTAGGGAACAAGTCAGATGAGGTGGACAAGAAGCAGGTGGCCACGGAGCAAGGAGTCAAGGTGGGTTAGTCTCATAATGGATTAATAATAATAATTATACTTTATTATTATACGTTGTACATATGGCTTTTCTAGATATCCAAAGACACTTTACATAGGGCCGTCCTTAACACGGTTTAAAAATAATGTTTTAACATTTATTATGATGCTGGTTTTTTTATGTGCTGTTACGAGCGACAGTCCTCCCATAGTCGTGCATCGGCCAAACAAAAAGCTGCCTGTTAGGAAGGAGCTGAGGGCTCGGCCGCCCGTATTCTCTCTCCAGAACCGCTCGTCGGAAAACAACTTCACCCAGTCGAGCAGACGAATGCAAAAAGAAAGGAGAGACTGCGCTTGGCTACTCGAGATGCAAAATGTTGCCAGTGTTGTTTGGCTGAATGTTGAACTTTGGAGAGATCGAGGCTCTCTGTCTGATCCCGCTTCACTTTTTAAGCTAAGCTCGACTAACTCTTATCATTATTGCACATAAGAGATGTAATCAAGGCAGCAAAGTCCACGAGCTTCTTTACCAAAATGTTCAACTTCCTCAAAAAGCGTATAATCGTTTGTTATAATCATCATAAAGCCGACAGCCCGCAGATCCCACTGCACATGTGTGGAAGGGGATGACATTCAGTTGTTGTTGTTGTTGTTTTCTTAAGTCAATGCTTCACTGTTGTCTGTCTCACAGCTGGCCAAGGCTTACGGGATGGATTTCTTTGAGAGATATTTAGTTGTGATGATTCATTGACGTGTTACTGAACTTTATGAACTGCCAGTTTTTAACAGACATCAGACCCCCCACGAGTGAGTGAATGTGTTTGTTTGTGGGGCTTCTGATTTTCACTAATGTGAATCCAATATTATCTCTTTCTGGCTGCAACTTACAAAACAAAAAAACAAACCTCTTCCTTTGACATTCCATGTTTTATTTCCTTTTGGTATGCTTAAATGACAATAATATCACATTATCAAGGGTATGAAATATGTGTTTGAAAGTTAGATTTGAAGCTTGATATTGACAAAAAGGGGAGTTCTGGTGCTCGATTTAGGGGTTTAAACTCTGACAGATTCTGGCAGTGGCAACGACGTGAAGCAGATTGTCTTCTTGTAACCGATGTTCTTTGTTTGTCCCTGCAGGTAAGGTGGTCCACGCAGAGACCACGGTGGCTCACGCCGTGCTGAACGGGAAGCAGTATTACCGTCAGGACTGGGTTCATGCTGCCGCCCACGTTGTCGTCCCTCCTCTCCGCCTCGACCCCAACACGCCAGGCAACCTCATGGGCCTACTGGGAAAGTATGTGCTCAGTACAAAGTGGGACGTGCTCCTAAAATACAGCAGTGATATCAAAGATGTAGGAGGGTCGATGCTTAGTGATGATTTGGACCAATAACATTCATCTTGTTTCCAGCGACTCTCTGAGTGTTGTGGCGACTCGACTTAGCATCAAGCAGAGGGCTTTGGGCAAAGACGACTTCACAAACCTGCTCGTGCTTATTATGTAGCGTGCATCCCAGGAAGGATCCATGTAGAATCGTATTAGATACCATTAATACTAAATAGCTTTGGAAAAAAATGCTTGGTTTTATTTTGTATTACTGGTCCACAAGTCCACCACTGTCTCCTCAGTGTCAATTTGTGTTTTCATTGGCTTATGGTTACTGCATTAATGTAATAACAAGCCGAAGAAATAATGTACACACATTTGCATTGCTTTGACCAAGGAGCCAAGCCAAGCACAACAAAATGCTATTCCGAAAGAAAGAATCCTTTGATGCTAATTAAAAATCGGTCGTAGCTCTGTTACGTAGCTGGTCTCAGCAATCAACAGGCCCCAGGTCAGAATTTATTGAATACGTCACTACGCCAGCTACGTTGTAAGGCTAATCCCCGCGAAATTCAAAGTCAATATGACGGCGGTGTTCAACGATATCACCGATCTGAGACGAGGAAACTAGTCGGACACCTGCGGCGGGCAGGATGCGGCCGCGAGACTGAGACACCTGCCCTCACCAGCGCTGTTGTGGTTTTCATTCAACAGATTCTGTACAACCCGTCATCCAACTGTTCGTCTAACTAACATCTAACAACAAGGCATCTGGCCTGGATAGTACAGGTAAATACAAATGATTACACTATTACTAAAACGGTAGAACGAATCATCATCAACACCAGCTGAAACTAACACTCGTTTGAATACCATTTTCGGAGCGGCCCGAGACGCAATAATGACGTGCGTCGGACATTTCATTGAACATGTTTAGTGGTGGGGGTGGGGTGGGGCCCCCCACCTCCAGGCTGACCAATAGGCCTGCCGCCAGTGGCACAGTCAGACATCAGAACAGGCCGCTGTCTAGGACCCCTAGCTGACAAGCGGCGTCCCACCCACCACCTTGCCTGCAGGCCAACTAGGAGCCACAGCCCGATGGTAATTATTCAATGAATAAGCTTCAAGTGAACATGGGGGTGTGTTTGTGAGGGAGACTGTGTGAGTGTAGTATAGAGAACAAGTTCTGACGTTAAAACAAATCCTGTTACATTTTCTGATTTATATTTTTATTTTATTTTTTAATAAATTATTGTGTTCAAGGAGCAACCTGTATTTTTGCAATGTGAATTTGCAGTTCTGTTTTAGAATAAAGGGTTTGAAATTAAACTTTTTAATGCTGTTTTTTCAATCTGATTCATTGAAGAAATAATCGACCAATTAATTGAAAAAATAATCGTTTGTTGCAGCCCTAGTCTCAATGCTCTCTAGGCAAAGGCTGCATCACCACTTAAACGAGGCCTTACACTGTGGAGTCAGTGCAGTGCAAGCCGTCGAGTCTCTCTGTTAGGGCTCGACCAGCCAGAGAGTCGCACACCTGACGCCGCTCTGCTCATCGCCACAGCTGCAGCTCGTCAGCTCATCCCACAGGGAGGTTAAGAAGCAGATCTGCCAGTGGCTCGCTGTGAGTTCGTGCTCTGTGTTTCCCCAGAGGGGGTTGATTGTTCTTCCCCTGTGCTCCTCTTGGAAACCCTTCCGGAATTCCCTACGCAGAGTTTTTGTTTTCCCTGTGAGTATCGTGTGAGTTTTCGTTTTTTGATTGGACTAAGAGCGCCCACGGACTAGAGAAGTTTTTGGAGTTGCCTTTTTTTTGTTTGTTTCTCGTATTTGGTTATTTTGTGAAATAAACTACGCCGTTTTCCGGCTAAACCTAAGCTGTGTCTGGTGTCGTGCACTTGGGGTCAGAGACAATCCATAACAGTACGAACTCACCCAGCATGTCGCGGAGCACGTCGTTCATGAGCGCCTGAAAAAACCCCGGGGCGTTGGTAAGGCCGAATGGCATTACGCGGTATTCGTAATGACCTCGGGGTGTCTTGAAGGCGGTCTTCCACTCGTCCCCCTCTCTGATCCGGACCAGGTGGTAGGCGCTCCGGAGATCCAGCTTGGAAAAGATGGCAGCCTGAGTCAGGGGCTCGAGGGTGGAGCTCATGAGGGGGAGGGGGTACCGGTTCTTGACCGTAATGTCATTTAGTTGGCGATAGTCAATGCAGGGTCGGAGACCCCCATCCTTCTTCTTCACAAAGAAGAACCCCGCTGCCACCGGTGAGGATGAAGGCCGAATGAGCCCTGCTGCCACTGACTCCAACCTGACATTCATCCGGGCGGCCAGGCGTCTCAATGGGCGACAGGCTCGTTGGGCCGGTTTCCTCAGTCGGTTCAATTTCTCCCTGACCTATCGTCCCGGTTCCCGCAACATCAAAGCGGATGCCCTGTCCCGACTACACCAGGGGGGGGGACTGGCCACCGAGGAGGCGGCACCCATCGTCCCCGAGACCCGGGTGATCGGCATGGTGGCCTGGGGCATCGAGACTGTCGTGAGGGGGGCGCTGCGCTCCCACCCTGCACCGAGTGGCGTACCCCCACGTAGGCTTTTCGTCCCGGAATCTGTCAGGCCCCGGGTACTTCAGTGGGGCCACGCCAGCCAGTTTGCCTGTCATCCCGGGGTCCACCGCACCTTCACCTTCCTAGCTCGACGTTTCTGGTGGCCCACAATGAGGAACGAGGTGAGGGACTTTGTGTTGGCCTGCCCCGTTTGTGCCCGCAGCAAGGCCTCTCACCAGGCACCTGCCGGGCTGCTGCAACCCCTCCCTGTTCCTAGCCGTCCCTGGTCCCACGTGGCCTTGGACTTTGTGTCTGGATTACCGGCCTCCCAGGGTAGGACGGTGATATTAACAATAGTAGATCGGTTCAGTAAGGGGGTGCACCTGGTGGCCCTCCCCAAACTCCCTTCGGCGTCAGAGACGGCGGACCTCCTGATGAGCCATGTGTTCCGGCTCCATGGCCTCCCCCAGGATGTGCTCTCGGACAGAGGACCTCAGTTCATATCCCAGGTATGGCGGGCATTCTTCAAGGGGTTGGGCGCCTCTGTCAGTCTCTCTTCTGGTTATCACCCACAGACTAACGGGCAGACGGAGAGGATGAACCAGTGTGTGGAGACGGCACTCCGCTGTGTGGCTGCCAGGAACCCGTCCTCCTGGAGTCGGTTCCTCCCATGGGTTGAGTACTCGATTAACTCCCTTGTCAGCTCTGCCACAGGTCTCTCCCCTTTCGAGGTGTCGCTGGGGTACCAGCCACCGCTGTTTTCGGCACAACAACCTGAGGTGGCAGTTCCGTCGGTACAGACTCATCTGGACAGATGTCGTCGCATCTGGGGAGTCGCCAGAGCCGCTCTACTCCAAGCGGCTGAACGTAGTAGCCGGGGGGCCAACCGTCGCCGGAACCCAGCGCCAACATACCACCCCGGGCAGAGAGTTTGGCTGTCCGCCAAGGATCTTCCCCTGCAGTCAACCGCCAGGAAGCTGGACCCCCGTTTCGTGGGCCCCTTTGAGGTCACGAAGGTGCTCAGTCCTGCCGCAGTGAAGCTGAAACTACCGGCTTCTATGCGGATCCATCCTGTGTTCCACGTATCAAGGATTAAGCCCGTCGCCTGCAGTCCTCTGATGCCTCCTGCCCCGGACCCACCTCCACCCACAATCGTGGATGGGCACCCTCAGTGGAGGGTTCGCCGACTGTTGGACGTTCGGCGTCGGGGGCGAGGGTACCAGTTCCTGGTGGACTGGAAGGGCTATGGCCCGGAGGACCGTAGCTGGGTATCTCGCCGGCTCATCAAGGACCCGGGGCTTCTGACCGCCTTTTATCGAGCCCATCCCGAGAAGCCTGGCAAGTCGCCGGGTGGCTCCCTTGGAGGGGGGGGTAGTGTTAGGGCTCGACCAGCCAGAGAGTCGCACACCTGACGCCGCTCTGCTCATCGCCACAGCTGCAGCTCGTCAGCTCATCCCACAGGGAGGTTAAGAAGCAGATCTGCCAGTGGCTCGCTGTGAGTTCGTGCTCTGTGTTTCCCCAGAGGGGGTTGATTGTTCTTCCCCTGTGCTCCTCTTGGAAACCCTTCCGGAATTCCCTACGCAGAGTTTTTGTTTTCCCTGTGAGTATCGTGTGAGTTTTCGTTTTTTGATTGGACTAAGAGCGCCCACGGACTAGAGAAGTTTTTGGAGTTGCCTTTTTTTTGTTTGTTTCTCGTATTTGGTTATTTTGTGAAATAAACTACGCCGTTTTCCGGCTAAACCTAAGCTGTGTCTGGTGTCGTGCACTTGGGGTCAGAGACAATCCATAACACTCTCCTTGACTCCAGCTTGTTTTTGAAGAGCTCTGAAACTTACCAGGCCGCCAATAGCTCAGCTGTTTCTGCAGAGACGCCCCCCCCCACAAACAACAGTTCTGATATGAATCGATTGGACTCGGTAGCTCTTTCTCTGACGCCGATGTTGGCTGTGACAAATGCAGAGTAACCAGCGGAAGCTTCAAATATCAAGGTTTCCCTCGGTGGGACAGAATGTTTATTGTCTCCGGCTGAGTTCACTCGTTGTCTATAATGTAACCAAATACATTTCCATGTCCTCTACATATTCTGCAATCGAGATACAGCCAAAAGGACTTAACACAAAGATACGATTGCAGAATCGTTTCATACTGTGTTTGAAAATGGAGAATGAATTATCGACCACTGAACCACTTGAAATTTTCCACAATGTAGTATTTTGTTTTCCAATCTCTTATATTGATCATGGGGCCTGTTGCCTTTCAAATCAACAAGGCGGTTCAATTCGGCCTTCATTCAACCTATCCGTGTTTTCCTTTCTATGTAGGAGTATATTCTATGAAGCTGCAGCCACCGCCTTTTTTATTGGTCAATGCGTTAGATGTAGTGTGAGAACTCGGCCACAAGAGGGTGCTACGTGCATTGTGAAAAGAGCTCACACACTGGAGCGTCGTTCTGTTAAATAATGCTCACGTTTCTTATTTTGGGTTTTTGGTTCTAATTGCACGTGCAGTTACTCCATTTAAGGAAATGAAAGGATTCTAAATATATGCAGACAATATTATTTATCGGGTAAGTAAATACATTATTTTGCAGCTTGTAATATCATCTACGTAAGACCGCACAAGATATTCAACTTTCCTGTTGCAAGATGATGAGCTTTTTTATGTTATCTGTGTCTATGAAAATATATAGCACAACGAGTTTAAAAACTGCTCATTGCATTGTACATACCAGGTTTTTCAAAACATTATATGTTAGTAGAACTATGAAGGTATTGGGTATTCATTTAATGTACTAGAGGGTGGTATCTAAAAAAAAAGTGCACAGTGATATTCTGGTCTGAAATGCCCTCCCCCCGCCCCCTTTGAAGACATTTACTTGGTGGTCCTTTTCTTGCCGTTTTGTCAGAGTCCAGTAAGGTTCCCCATCCACCTCTTACATAAAAGGGGACAATTGAAGGTTTTGCATGCAAGTTGACTCTTCTTTCCTTTGTTTTAGTGCAGCTCCAATGAAGTTAATCGTTAACTGGCCATGCAAGAATAGCATTTGACCAGAGTTGGCTGTTTGAGACCTAAACAGAATCCCTATCACTAAAAAACATTTGGCTACATTTTTTTTAATTTGCCACTTATTACTAAATGCTATTC